TTTTTTTCTTCAAAATTTTTTCTGCCAACTCTGATTTTATTAATTTGGTAGCTAATTCATATTTTTAGGACTCTGGCCGGAAGATTGGTACAACGCGGTCTGTATCATCGCAACCAAATCTCCTGTCTTGATCGCTCAGGAAAACTTGAGATCTGAGCTTATTGATAATGCGGCTATCAAAAGTGATGCTATCTCACCGGTTAGTGTTGTGGGTAGGTGTCTACAACAGGCATTACCAGCTTACTGCCTTTCCAGAATGAACTTCAAGAGTTTCGCAACACAGTCTGTGGTGTGTTAAACCACCCGACTGAAGTAGTGCCGATCGTGAATCGAATGGATCTCGCGCAGTGCACCTATCTACTGTCAGTTTTGAGGATGGAAAAAATGAGAGTGGTAGGTTGTGAATCAGTGACCGTCCTCCATATTTGGTGACGGGATCTAGCCTTTGGACTTTCTTGCTATTCTTATGGCAAATGGAAGTGGACGGTTTTTCCGATTAGCTGCAGTTTGAGGGAAATTAGAACTGAGAAGTTTTTGTGTGAAGTTTGGATGCTGTAATGCGTTTTTTTAGATTCATGCGGATTATAGAGAAGCTCCACATGAATTTTTTAAGTACCTGGAGGATAAGTAAGTTAACCATGTTTGATATTATCCGAATTCGTTTTGTCATAGGACCATACGCAAAGATAAAGGAGGAATGTGGGTTTGCTTGTTATCTGGAGCCACTGTGGTTTTTGAGGCATACCTCGAGGCTTACAAACGGGTGAGTTTGCTCGAAGAAGCTCTTTTCTTTTAATGCAGTTTTTGCACTTGAATCCTCTCGGAACACTTATTTTGGAACAGTGCCTGCTTGTGCTCTGAGAAAGAGAAAGAAAAGAATGTTGAAGAAGTTTTGTAGGAGTTTGGGATTTTAGAACAGGACAAATGACATCTCGGAACCAGCACTTGAGTATCATGCACAATTTCTTTTGGTTCAGTTCAATCACAATCTCAAAGAGGTAAGTTCCACTGATCGTCTTTTATAGGGGAGTGCTACAATCATAACTTATTCAGGTTCGACGCTGCGCCGATGCTTGTTTGTCTCGTTTGGTAGATAAATTTCCGTATCTATTGTGGAATGGACACATACTAACTACTGCCTTGCGACTTCTACAGGTATTTAGCAAGCATTAGCATTTTTACCTACATGACTTATCTCAGGCGCTGCAAGTCAATCTTCTGCAAGATCCCTCATGCAGCGACCCTACCTTTACCATGGATGGATTGCCATGGAGTATTCAATTACAGGTTGTTGCTCGCTTTATGTCAGCTGTGGAAGATATTTTGCGCTTTTAGGATACAATTGAAGGCCGTGCATCTGTCGTGAAAGATTTCTCGCAGCGTTGCGAGCAAATTTTACAAGAGGCAATGAAATGGGCACCAGCTATCACTCACAGTCATCTTTTGGAATGTTTCCTTCTTTTAACTGCCCTCCTTTACCAATATTGTTGGATTTACCGCCTAAGAGCTTTGGGCCAGCTGGTGCAATCCCTGTCTGGCAATAATAAAACGCTATTGCCAGACAGAGATTGCACCAGCTGGCCCAAAGTTAATCTTCTATTATCTTTTATCATCTCATTGATCTTCTCGCATTGTAGCCGTTGTAGGAATATGCTTCTTCATATGGAGCTTCCTCCGACACATCTCTGAAGTTAGCGATGGATGCAGTGATCAGTGCCGGTTCAGACAACACTAGCATGTATCTGTCGTCTTTACATATGAGAAGTATGTATCTCGGCCAGGTTAGTACTACAAAGCCGTCATTTGCTGTTCCCTTTTCGTCTCAGCTTCTGTCGATGGTTTTCTTTGTTCTTAGGTGAAAGGTATGCTTGCATCACGCGCGGCTGACGAAGATGAAACTCCGGAAGTTTCTCTCATAAAACGCCTCGAAACAGATTTTGAGAGGGCAATTGTTTCCGGAAAATACGAGGAAGTGAAAAACGCCATCATGCTACTTACAGCTTTATTCGTAACTCTGAAAGGTGAGCTGCATCTTGGATAGTCTGACATGATAATAAGTTGATGTAACAGAGGGTCGAGGAATTTATGCGAAAATAAATCCAGCGAGTCGTACAGGTATTTAATGGGAAATTAACTGATTCTTTTGTTCCCTTTGTTTCTTTAGAGCTTATAACGCTACTTCTGTCCCTTGGGCTTGGGCGACTGTCTGCGGGGCAAAGTTGAACAGCTATTTTTCTTTTTTT